TTGAGATGTTGGATAAAATTGTGGACAATGTTGGGCAAGAGAATGTGGTGCAAGTGATCACTGATAATGATGCCTCATACAAAGCAGCTGGATCGTTGTTGATGGAAATTTATTTTGGACAACATGTGCAGCCCATTGCATAGACTTGATGTTGGAGGATTTCGAGAAGAAACTTCAAACTCACCGAGCAACAATAAGGAAAGGTAGAAGGATCACTACATTTATTTACAATACATCAAGTCTCAGCTCTTCGATGAAAAACTACACCAAAGGAATAGATTTGATTCGGCCAGCTATTACTCGGTATGCAACTGCATATTTGACTTTGGGTTGCCTTAGTGAACTTAAGGGTACTTTAATTACAATGTTTTCTTCATCAAGCTGGAAGGGAACCACACATGCCCGTGCGGAGAAAGGAAAGAAAGTTCAAAATATTGTGTTGGATAATAAATTTTGGAGTAATGTTGTGACATGTCTTAGGGCTGCCTTACCACTAATCAAGGTACTACGGCTAGTGGATTCAGATGAGCAACCAGCTACGCCATTCTTGTACGAGAAGATGGATTGCGCAAAATAAAAGATCCAAAATAACTTCAACAATTTGAAAGCAAGGTAAATTAATAATTTCATACAATTCTAATTAATTTCTCTATTAATTTATTCGTGAAGACTTGAGTTTTCTTATTTATCTTTTTTATGCAATTCTATAGATATGAGCCTATATGGAAGATCATTGATGAGAGGTGGAATAATCAACTCCATAGCCCACTATTTAAACCCTAGGATTCATTATTGTCCAACTTTCAATGCTAATGATAGGGATGTTAAAAATGGACTTTTTGATTCAATTGATAAGTTGGTAAATGATCGGTTTGAAAGGCACATCATCATTACACAATTTGATGCATTCCATCACGCACAAGGCATATTTTCTAGGTAAGATGCAAGAGCATTGTTGGAGAAAAAACATCCAGCTGATTGGTGGAATACTTATGGAGATGATGTTCCGGAACTTCAAAAGTTCGCTATAAAGACACTTAGTCTGACTTGTAGTTCTTCGGGATGTGAGCGTAATTGGAGTGCATTTGAGATGGAAAAAATCTTTTTTAATTTTATTAAAATTTATAATATTTTTATTAAACATCCTTAATTTTTATATTTACTTGATAACTTATTTATAGGTCCATACGAAGAAAAGAAACAAATTACTTCAAAATAAAATGAATGATTTAGTGCACATATGTACAACTCAAAGTTGAAAGATAAAAAGTTCCGAAATATTGAGAGTTCCAGCGCTCGTAGAAAGAGGTAGGTTTCCCGCTGTTATCCGCTACATTTAAATGGGTCCCTTCCTTTGACTAGTCTTCTAGGCTGGATTTATCTCTCTCAACTTGGATCCCATGAGGCGGTCCAATAGTAAGGAGTTGGAGAAAGAAAGGTTAACATCCATTGCTTCTGACTATGTCGATGAAAAAGTGATCGATGTCGAAGAAGTACATTTAGATGATGAATGGATTACAGAAAGAGTTGGAGGTGTTGATCCTGATGGAGATGATGTTGTTGAGATGGATGGAGATGTGGGAGGGGAAGATGACACTCATGGCTTTTTTTATGATGGTGATCCTTTTGATGAGAGTGATGCTAGTGAGCAAGACATAGATGAAGATGAAGATGAAGAGAGGGAAAGAAGTATGGAGATGGTTGATGAAGATGAAAGTGATGATAATGAGAGTGAGAGTAACGATGGACTTGATCCTAATGTCAACCTTGAAAATTTAAGCTAGTTCATTAGATTTTAATTATGTTCAATTTATATTAAACTATGTTTAATTTATGTTAAAACATGTTTTATTAATATTTGGATGTTTTATATTTGTTTGGACTTATTTTATTTGTGTCATGAGATGATTTTTAAGTAGTAAGTACTAACAATATATATATATATATATATATATATATATATATATATATATATATATATATATATATATATAATGGGTTGCAATTAATTTTACAAGCCGTGTAAAATCTTACGATTTTACGATCCGATTTTACGTTTCCAATTTTACTACCCCTCTCCGATTTCAATTCTACCTTGATGCTACTAGTATTTAACTGATAAAATATGTGTTTCTTGAGGGATACTAGTTTTGGATTTTAGAGTTCTACTTTAACTTGTATTTTGGAACTAATGATTTAAGAATTTTCATGTATTTGTTTTGGATATTTAACTCCCTTATAGTGAAAGGTTTGTATTCAAGGATTTTCTCTATCTGTCCTGATTTTTTTCCTCATTGTTTTGCTTTCTACTGCATTTGTGTTAAGATTGCATTCTATTGCTCTTGCACATATTTCATAACTTCTAGAGTCTGGAAAAAAAAAAAAAAATTTATATTCATCATGTACTAAAGTGTTTTTTTATGATGGTTGTCATCGTTGTTCAGAAAGCCTAATATTGGCTAGTTTTAAATTTCTTTTTGAAAAATAAAGACAACAATAATGACACATCATTAATCCTAGTGAAAGTTATAAACTTATTTATCAGTATATATTCAACAATAACATTTATGATGAATAAAAAAATCACGCAACACACATGATTTATAGATGAATATCTAAAGACCGAAAAAACATATTATAAATGAACATCTGGAGACTAAAAAAACATAATTCAACTCCATGGTAATAAGCAAATAACTTTCAATAGATAAATGTTATCAACTTCTCAACTAATAAACTTTTTCTACTCTCGTTTAGTTGAGATTAATCTTCTCTAAGTGCCATAGAGACTGATCTTTAATTTCAAACAAGTAACTCCACTCTCCTCGATTACTCATAAATATCTACTAAAAAAAAATACGAGTAACTGACGACGATAACGAGCCATCAAACATCATAAGATTCTAATTTTAAGATATACGTGCCATTATTTCCCCAATAAATTGACGAATGCTATGACCTACTTAAACATGTAAACTAAAAATATGAGTTTATAATATTCATTTAGTTAGCTTCTAGCAAACATAGAACGGTAAAACAAATCACATCTATGCAAAAGTAATATAAAAAAAATTAAAACTCCAAATATACTCTTCTTTATTCACACTCGGATAAGCTATGGAATGTCGCGGATTCCCCAATCCAAAGCTTGTACACAATGATTGGTAATATTGTTAAGTTAATACATAATGTCTTTCGCGATTATTTTAACTATATTGAAAAATTTGATTAATTTAGCAAATGAAGATTGCAATGGCAAGAAACGTGATAAAATGTTGGTGATGACATTACAAAAATATTATCAAAAATATAAAAAATCACAAACTCATTATCATGTGTAAAGTGAAGTTCCAACAAAAAAAAAATATATATATATATATATATATATATATATATATATATATATATATATATATATATATATAATTTAAATGTAGAATCTCTTCATCAAAATTTCAATAGCTAATAAACATAGCCTTAAATCAAATAAAAATATCAAATAATTAAGATAAAAATCAAAAAAATCAAAAAATCAAAGTATCAAACTATCAAATGTTCCTACTAAATTATGAGAACAATCATGTTGTGTGCCAGTAATTCCTTTTTTAGCTCTTGACTTCTTGGTACGAACATATTTACGTCGAGATGCGGTATAAGGATTTGCAATACATGTGCTAGCTTTAAGTCCAGGCCCCACTTTCAACAAATCGTATATAGAATAAATACTAATGATTACAAGTAATAAAATAAAAGTGACATGTACACATATTAGAAGACACATGTTTGTTTAATCAAAATCAAATTGCACACATACCAAAAAAACCAGAATTTTGTTTCTTTGAACGAATTGCATCTCTAGTCTTTATTTGTCTAGAAGCATTGACATTGCTAGACTTTGTACATACATAGGTATGACGGTACTGACATTGTGGTTTGAGAATTCTCAGCTGCCTCGCAAAATTTTCTTACATGTCTGATGCATTTAACAAGTTTGGACTTCATGTGAGATAATAAGTAATATAAATTTAGGAATTCTTCATTAAATTGAGCAAAACGTGGTTGTTATCTTTTAATCTAGAAACTTAGTTTTCAGTATTCTACCTGCATCAAATAAGACAACGGGGTGTTACTCTTATTTGGAAACTATGTAATCCGCATAACGTGAAAGACGGTATGATGTTGCGGCAGTGCAGGCCCTTAGACTTGAGCTTCAGGCGACTGTACTTGATTACCGTTAAACTTGTCAACAGTTACATATATAACACCATGCACCATCAGCTTTGTTAGTAATTTCTAAATACGAATATACATTGTTCTTCATTTATCTTAATACGAATTTCCACCAAAAAACGTTGCTCTTTTTTAATATCTTGATTCAGAATAAAAATATGTTTTTATGCATATACTAGCAACATGCTTCTAAAGCCATTTAATAGGACTATCTCTAGTAGTGGGCTTGAATTTCTCTAAATCATCTTGTTGAATAAGGAAATTACGTCTTAACCCTTGTCATGTGCGATTACTTTGCAAACATAAAATTTACTTTTTGATTGGTCGAAAGCCTGATCAATGAATTCATAGACTCACCCATGCATCCGAGTTGTACATGGCATCACCGTAAGATGTCCACGAAAATGTGGTTTGCCCACATTTCTTTTTTCATTTATGTCGATAACTCATTGCTCTTTTGCGGCGTTATACATCTCAACCATGTTAAACTTACTTATTTCAAACTCATAGAGCATGGTTTCTTCAATAATCTCATAAAATTAGAACAAGCATCTGGCCATTTTATATTATGTCAAACATTTCTTCCAAGATGCCAAATATGTAGCATATGCTTCGTTCCAGGAAATTCTAATGAAATTGTTGCTATCACAGACCAATCCTGGTCTATTAACACATAACTTGGAACTTTGTCATTCATTGCCTCAATAAATACTTGCAACAACCATCGATATGATTTCAATTGTCTTGTTGTACATAAAATATGCACGAAAATACACGTCGAAAACCATGGCTGTTGATTCCAAAAACAATAACCAAAGGAGATGTGTTTGTCTTATATGTACTATCAAATACTAAGACATCGCCAAATAGTTTAGTTTTGGAAGCTCCTTCATACCAATCAAGTCTTGAAAGCACCCTTGTTCATTTACCATTTATTTGTAAAAGAAGTATTTATCTTTCATTTTCATGCTATAAAATCAATCTAGTGAAATGTTTAAATCACCACAATCAATTCGCTTAAAATGCATTCTATTTAACCAATTGAAAGACAAATTTTCAACTCATCCACCAAGTTGCTCTAAAATTCAAAATTCGGCACGTCCGAAACTCGATATCTGCCATTAAATTCAGCATGCGCTTATCGGGCATTGAAATGTACCCATTGAGAATCAAATGATCAATTAAAAAAAGGAGAATCAAATGATCAATTAAAAAAAGGCAAGGCAAATATAAAAGTTATAACTAAAATATAAGCTAGTAAATTTGTACGCCTCTTCTTGAAACCTCACAAATCACGAATATGTTGAGGTTTGATTTGTACTGTCCTAAAAAATGGTAGATGTGACACGAAAGCATGTTGTAGAACCACATCTCGGCACAACTTTTGCCTTTCGCTTCCTATTATAGTCAACTCGCTCGTCTGCATAATCCCTCACATATAAGCATCCATTTCATGTACTTTACAATTTCATCGATGGTTTTACATTTTACACGTTGTTTCTTAATGGCAAAACCAACTACCCTGGCATACGATGTATAACTTTTTTTTTATCATCAACATTTCCACTGCATTCTTATCAATATTCTCAAAATCAATATCAACTAAACCACCTATGTCATCAACACCGTGATAGTGCACATCCTCAGACTTACTATCATCTATATATATATTCATACTTATTAAAAGGTGAAATTGGTTCCTTATTTTTAATATCAAAATCCATCATACCTACAAAATATGATTTCAAAAATATGTTTACGGCGTTTACCGCCGGTCTCCGCCGTTGACTTTTGAATTTTTTTTTGTCCCTAAAATTTTTATCCATTTTTTTTTACGCCCGCTGTTGAACGTTGACCGTAATTGTACTATCATTAACAGTAATTATACTGTCGCTAACAGTAATTGTACTGTCAACCACATTAATTTACTGTCAACCACAATACTATACTTAATTTTTTTGGCTTTTTTTTTTGTGTTTTTTTTGTTTGATTTGTTGACAAGTCAACGTAATTGTAAAACTGTCGTTGACGGTAAAATTACTGTGAACAAATTAATGTCAACCATATCAATATTATGTTTTTTTGGCTTTTTTCATTTTGTTTGATTTGTTGACCGATTAACGTAATAATATTACTGCCTACTATTGTATTATTACTGTAAACACAATAATATTAATGTGGTTGACTGTAATATTACTATCAACCACATCAATATTAATTCTTTTGGCTGTTTATTATGTTTGCGTTTGTTGAAGGGTCAACATATTAATAGAACTCTATTACACAATAATAGTGATTTTTGTTGTGTTAATATTACTGTGCTAGAGAGTAATATAACAATATTACTGTGTTAAACTGTAGTATAATTCATATTACCGTGTTAAACAGTAATATAGTTAATATAACTGTCAACCACAACAATATTACTGTTTAAACGGGCAAAAAAATGTTGAAGAAAAAAAAAAAAAAAAAACATAAAATGTCAATGCCACTAGAGACCGGTGTTGACCACCGGTCATCGGTGACAAAAAGAAGAAAAAGAAAAAGAAAAAAAATCGAAAAAAGTCAATGCCGAAAACTTGCGGTGACGGACGAAATTGTACTCAAAATTGAATTTTGGGTCAAAACTGAATAATTTGTGAATTGTGAGGTCAAATTGAGGTTAAATCGAATTAAATGATGAAATTGATGTATATTTAAATATGAAGGGGTATTTTAGTCTTTTACACATCTATAGACAATCTATGAATAAGTATCCATGATGAACTTATTTAAAATGTACCCTTGAAAAAAAGGGAAGAATTTAAAAAAAAAAATTAAATATGAATTTATCCCAAAAAAACAATAGAAAAAAGCCCCAAACAATAAAAGATAAAAGAAAATATAAAACCCTAATTCTAAACCCCCCTCCTCACCCCAGGCAGGCCCCCTTCTTTCCCCTGATCGCTCGTCTCTCTCTCTCTCTCTCTAAACCTGCCCAGTTTTCTTTCTCATCTCTGATTCTCTCTCTCTCTTCTCTCTC